TCATCTATTCTGATCCAGATTATTATGACATCCAAGTTCCTGAGAATGTTCCCTGCACGCAACCAATGTGGAAAAAGGTAATTCAAGGTGCCCCTAAACCATATATTTCTTGCTTGATACCCGTATATAATCCAAAGATGGAGGAACCAAGCGTGGACACTATGTGTGCTTGGATAAGAACCATAGAGGAAAATATGGAAGACTCCTTCAATCCCCTGTACCAACGCACCTACGATAGGGAAAGAATGGAGAGAGATTATGAATATTCCAGATATGAGGACGACCTTAGAGACAGAGAGGACAGAAGGTATAGAGATTACCAAGAAAGGCCAATGGGAAGATCACGGTGGGACCGGCAAAGACGACCTCGGCCTAGACCTCGATCCTGGTCTCGATCTCGCTCACGGTCCCTGTCATTCACGCGTCGAAGGAAAGAGAACTCTAAGTGTTGGTCACGTAACCAACTATGGGCATACCTTCGTAGTAAAGGAGAAAACATGAAGAAGTGGGATGGTGAACCCACTTCTAAGCTTGAAGCTAGAATGAGGGAGCTGAAGCGAAAGAAGACTGACAAGAAAGTTGTCTATGTAGTAGACGGAGACTTCTTAGAAGAGAAACTGCGATTGCCAAAACACGAGAAGATGGAGGTCCACTTCGACAACAGCAAAAAGTCTAAGAAGTCAAAGTCAAACTCTGACGACGAATGTTCTGATCAAGACCAGTAGAGGGGCCCTGCCTTCTGCCAGGAGAAGGAGAGGGACCAAGAAGATAATCGAGTTTACTGGGCTGTGTGGGTTCGATGGCCTGGCACATCGGATCCACAGAGATACCAGGCCTTGATAGATACTGGAGCCCAGTGTACTGTAACGCCTTCGGAGTATAAGAGTACCGAGACTGTTACTATTTCTGGAGTGACCGGAGGGTCTCAAGAATTGTCAGTAGTAGAGGCGGACATGAGCTTGACGGGAGATCAATGGGAAAAGCGTCCCATTGTGACGGGGCCAGAAGCCCCTTGCATCCTTGGTATGGACTACCTAAGAAGAGGATACTTCAAGGACCCAAAAGGGTACCGGTGGGCTTTTGGTATAGCCTCGGTGATTGAAGAGGAGTCCAAGCAATTGTCTGCCCTTCCTGGCCTCTCAGAAGACCCTTCCATTGTAGGATTACTGCGAGTTGAAGATCAAGAAGTGCCAATAGCCACAACAACTGTACACAGACAGTATCGGACAAACCGAGATGCTGTGATCCCTATCCACAAAATGATCCGAAAGTTGGAGAGCCAAGGGGTGGTCAGCAGAACCCATTCACCCTTCAACAGCCCCATCTGGCCTGTGCGTAAATCCGATGGAGAGTGGAGACTGACTGTGGACTATCGTGGCTTAAATGAAGTTACGCCACCGTTGAGTGCTGCCGTACCAGATATGTTGGAGCTCCAATACAAGTTGGAGTCCAAGACAGCAAAGTGGTACGCCACCATCGACATAGCCAACGCGTTTTTCTCCATTCCTTTAGCGGCAGAGTGCAGGCCACAGTTTGCTTTCACCTGGAGGGGCGTTCAATACACCTGGAATCGACTGCCCCAGGGGTGGAAACACAGTCCAACCATCTGTCATGGATTGATCCAGGTCACACTAGAGAAGGGTAAGGCTCCCGAACACATCCAGTACATCGATGACATCATTGTATGGGGGGACACAGCAGAAGAAGTTTTCAAAAAAGGACAGACGATCATCCAGATTCTCCTCGATGCTGGTTTTGCCATCAAGAAGAGCAAGGTCAAGGGACCTGCCCGAGAGATCCAATTCCTAGGGGTGAAATGGCAAGATGGACGACGTCAGATACCAACAGACGTAATCAACAAGATTGTAGCAATGGCTCCGCCCACAAACAAGAAAGAGACCCAAGCTTTTCTGGGAGCAATAGGCTTTTGGAGGATGCACATCCCAGAGTACAGTCAGATTGTGAGCCCTCTTTACTTTGTGACCCGTAAAAAGAACAATTTCCAATGGGGTCCTGAACAACAACAAGCTTTCAGGCAAATCAAGCAAGAAATTGCACATGCCGTGGCTCTTGGACCAGTCAGAACGGGACCAGATGTAAAGAATGTGCTCTACACCGCAGCCGGAGATAAAGGTCCCTCCTGGAGCCTCTGGCAAAAGGTGCCTGGCGAGACAAGAGGGCGACCATTGGGTTTCTGGAGCCGAAGCTACAGAGGTTCTGAGGCCAATTACACCCCTGTGGAGAAGGAAATCTTAGCAGCCTATGAAGGCATACGAGCAGCTTCAGAGGTAATTGGTACTGAAGCACAGCTCTTCCTGGCACCCCGATTACCAGTGTTGAGCTGGATGTTCAAAGGGAAGGTGCCCCCTACGCATCATGCCACCGACGCCACGTGGAGCAAGTGGATCGCTTTGATTACGCAACGTGTCCGAATCGGGAACTCGAATCGCCCTGGCATTTTGGAAATCATAACCAATTGGCCTGAAGGTGGGAACTTCAGTCTGGTAGAAGAAGAAGAAGAGCCAGTGAGTCGAGCTGAAGAGGCTCTGCCATATGATAAGCTGCCAGATGAAGAAAGACGCTATGCCCTTTTCACCGATGGTTCCTGCCGTATTGTAGGGAGGAGCCGGAAGTGGAAAGCAGCTGTTTGGAGTCCCACCCGACAAGTGTCGGAAGCCACTGAAGGTAAAGGCGAATCGAGTCAGTTTGCGGAACTCAAAGCGGTCCAATTGGCCCTAGATATTGCAGAGAGAGAAAGATGGCCAAGGCTCTACCTGTACACCGATTCGTGGATGATAGCCAATGCCCTATGGGGATGGCTAGACCGGTGGAAAAAGATGAATTGGAGGCGTAGAGGGAAACCCATCTGGGCTGCTGATCTGTGGCAAGACATCGCTGCCAGAGTGAAGAAACTAAATGTAAGAGTCCGCCATGTGGATGCCCATGTGTCCAAGAAGCGAGCTAATGAGGAACATGCTAATAACGAACAAGCAGACCGAGCTGCACAGGTCAAGGTCTTGCAAGCAGACCTAGACTGGCAGCAGAAGGGAGAGTTGTTCCTAGCTCGATGGGCTCATGATGCTTCAGGTCATCAGGGCCGAGACGGCACTCATAGATGGGCACGAGACCGAGGGGTGGATTTAGCGAAAGATATTATCTCTCAGGTTATCCGTGACTGTGAAACCTGTGCTGCTATCAAACAGGCAAAAAGGTTTAAGCCCCTGTGGTATGGTGGACGTTGGGAGAAGTATAAGTATGGAGAGGCCTGGCAGGTTGATTACATCACATTGCCACAGACCCGCCAAGGTAAACGCTATGTGCTTACCATGGTGGAAGCAACCACCGGATGGTTGGAAACATATTCGGTACCACATGCAACAGCCCGAAACACCATCCTAGGCCTTGAGAAGCAGGTCCTGTGGAGACATGGCACTCCAGAGCGAATTGAGTCAGACAACGGGACTCATTTCAAAAACAGTCTAGTGGCCACTTGGGCACAGGAGCATGGTATTGAATGGGTATATCACATTCCATATCATGCACCTGCTGCAGGAAAAGTAGAAAGGTGTAATGGACTGTTGAAGACGACTCTAAAGGCACTGGGTGGGGGAACTTACAAAAATTGGGACAAGAATTTAGCCAAGGCCACCTGGCTAGTCAACACCCGAGGCTCTGTCAACCGAGCTGGTCCTGCCCAAGCAGAGTCCCTCCACACTGTAGATGGAGACAAAGTTCCAGCGATCCATCTAAAAGGTGTGTTAGGTAAGGCCGTTTGGATCACTCCTCCCTCAGGCCAAGACAAACCCATTCGTGGGATTGTCTTTGCTCAAGGACCTGGATATACCTGGTGGGTCATGAGGAAGGATGGAGAGATCCAATGTGTGCCTCAAGGAAACCTAAGCCTGGGGAAAAACTAATTCTGTGCCTTGAGTTGTATTTTACAGGAGACCAGACACCAGACGAAAAAAAAAAAGACCCGAACAAAGCTGATACGAGAATCCAAGGATGGCCGATGATGACACAGCCCAAACCAATGAGCCAGCCCTAAACCGGAACTGTGATTATGACGAAAGGCCAAGAACACAAATCGAGTTGCTGGTGGTGCTGATCTTCAATGACAGACGACAGCCTTCGAGAAAAAATAAACATGGACTATATATGTATATGTGTATATGTGCGGGATAGAGACGAACACAATATACAGGTGTTACGTAAAGAAATAGTATGGAATAAGGGGTGGAGAATGTGGTGGTTTCAGTCTAGGCCTTCCTGGAAACCAGCTTGTAACCAGGAAGGAACTAGGAAGGTGACCAAGGAAGTATTCCATGCTATTCCTTTACGTAACCTAGGGTATAAATAAGGCATGGATAAGATAGTTCGCTCTCTTCCTTTCCGGCGAGGTCCGAGAACGGTGGGTCCCTGTCTCGGTCTGGCTTATCTGGAGCCGAGGCCTACAGTGACTGCTGTTATCTGCCACCCGTGAGGGGAGAGCCAAGGGCCGTGTCTAGCCATCCTGCCTGTTCGAAGGGAAGTGGTGAGATTTTTGCTAATTTGCCTTCGGCTGGTTGTTTGACTTGTGCGGTCCTTGCCCCTTTTTGTCCTTCTCCCTTCCCTTCCCCCCTTTCCCCCCCCCCGGTGTGTGGTATTCTCCTTTTGTGTATCTGTCTCATATGTAAAACATATATATATATATATATATACATATTTTTGCTATAGCTTTGGCTGCTTGTTTCTTTTTTCTCTTTTCCCTCTCTGGGAGGCGGGTCCTCGTTGTCGAGTTTCGGGGGACTTGGCGGGAAGCCAGCTCGAAACTTGCACATTCCCCCATAAGAAATGGAACTGTATAGGGTAAAAAAGGTAGTGAATACAGTGGACCAAGGCCATATATACTGGAATTATGTTGTAATGACTCTCAAACCCTCAATTCCTGGGTTTTGGGAAGACCCTGATATTGGAGAAAGGTGGGAGATTCCACCAAGCAAACTCAACCCCATATTAAAGCTTTGGGCTGCCATTAAGCAAAACAGTACAAACCAGTATTTTTAATATCCCTGGAACAGCTTGCCTAAAGAGTACAATGCCTGATGAAGACTGTATGTACAAAAGGTAGTTTACCCAAATGCATAAGCTATTTTAGCACATCCTCTTGGCCGGCATCAGAGAGCAATCCCACTTCAGTACAGCACAGCCATTCTAACCCTCCTCAATCCAAGCTCAGGGCCTCTCATGAACTCTTCTTCAGGTGGGAAGGTTTCCAACACAGTAGTCCCTCAATCATCTCCAAATGAAAGGGTGTACTCAAAGATACTCTAATGAAGGACTTAAAACCAACTGAATCACTACCACAAACGTGCAATAGATTCGCTGGTCTTTTCTGCTGAGGCCTGTTTCCCCATGTACCCTTCAGACAGAGCAGAACGCACAGATGTGGCAGGTTTGCAGAGTTAACGGGCTCTACACAGACTTCTGTCCCTTGACAGTTTACTCTATTTCCTGTTTATAATTTCTATATTTAGTAGTGAAGTAGATTATCCTTTTGAGAGTCAACTGCTGACATTCCTATACATATTAAATGGCACATAGAAAACATTAGTCTGTCCCACAAGTTGCTATCTTCAGATTCGCTGTCTTCATAACTCTCTGTGGAAGGGCAGATTCACTCAGCAGGGTAAGATTCAGCAAAAAATGTTGTTTGACCCTCTTTTGAAGCAATGCTTAAAACAAA